TTCAATGGCTTTCATTTGAATGTCATTAATTATTTCCAAAATCATTTGAGAGGAAAACTGTTTTTCTATTTCTTCATGTGAATAAGGCTAGAATGAAAATGAAGATGGTTAGACCTATATGGTCAAATTGAAGTTAATAAAATATAATATCACAGTACACAGAGAGATAGGGGGGGGGGGGTCAATACCTTAGTGAATACAGAATATTTTGGCACCCAATCATACGCCCACATTTAATGCTAATGTATTGGGAAGCTTCACTCTATTGTTTCATTTCGTCTTATGTGATTTGATTTGGAATCAATCCAAATTTCTCTATTTTGAACGCCAACAATGATCGGGGCTTCTTATACTCTTTATATATGTACATTTAAATAATATTAAATGATCAAATTTGAGCAATTTGTTATTTGAGAATTAAAGATATATTATGAGAGATTAGATAAAGAGCTAGCACTTCTCACTATAATAGTTAAAAACTAGTTAATGTAAAGGGTATTTGCTGAATATATCGGTCAAATTGATCCACTCTGAACGGAGATTTGAGCAATTGAATTTTCGATCTAGCCTCGATCATCATTACTAAAGACGGTACGATTAAAAACATAGTCTCGATTATCCATATCATGATTAAATCATGACTGAAAATTGAGCAACAAATGGGATCCTAATCCAGTAAATATCGCAGGCTAGGGTTGACATCGAGAGTTTAAGTTCTCGATAAGTAAATTAATGTCTAATTAATAATTTAGGTAACATTTCAGGCCTAAAGAAAGACATGCAATAGGCAAATTTAGCTCTTGCATAATGTATGTTTAAAGAACTGTATACACACGATCTAGCAGAATACGTTTACACGGTCTTCTATGCAAACTTGAACAGTCGTAAGATATTTCAAGCTATGTATATTATAACGAAATAAATGATTATTTGTGTTGACACGTCACGGATTTGATCAGCTTCATATGATTAAATTTCTATTTTCATATTGTGAGATTTGAAATGTGTATCAATGATGAAATCGGCAATTACATACGTCATTAGTGACCGAAATATGACAAATTCGTGACTCCTCGTCATGTATCGCGTGATCAAAACATTATTATTGTTGAAAGTAAGACATTAGTTTACTCAGGAAATTCTTTGAGGTGTGAAACACTTTGATGTGATAAACATAATTATGAAAGAGATCTGCTCGCTTTAAAAGAAACAGCAATTTTCATAAATGCGTATTTTCTAAAATGATTTAAAACTGCTTTTCATTACATTAAAGGGGATATCCAAGTGGATTTCGGTGAATCAAACAGGTTTATTGTAGATGACTTCCTTGAAAGCTTTATCCACAATTATCTGAATCTATTTGGTACTTTTTCGCAGAAATACACACTTTCAGTTTCAATATATTATATGGCAGGCAGTAAGTTCCCACTGTTATGATAATGATATTCGTGATAATCACGTCACAGTTGAACGATGGAATTCCGGAGACGATCATATTGTTCAGTGTTTATATCAAGTATTCGCTTGCACGAAGGTGTCTTTAGCAGTGAGAGGAAACCCTACTTCTAGTCACACAATTGGAAAGCGTGGGCTCGAAACCACGCCACTTGAGTCAGTATTACTCAGTAAAAGACTTATGATCTAAAGCGCACGCGGTATACCACTCAGCCACCCAACCCCGCTAAATAAGTTACGTTGCCCCAGTAAGGTAAACTAGCAACCTCTTCCGTGAGGGTCAACTTTTTTTTTATATATATATCTGAAATTCACTTTTTGAGGTTGTATAAAAACACATTAATTGACGGACACACTGTGAAATATGTAACAATCGCTTTTATCAGCAACTAGAAGAATGTCCGGCTTACTCCCCGGTCCGAGCTACCCTTATACCCCAAATTTCAGACTCGGGGCAGACCTAGTGTAGCCGCCAACCCCGAACAGACAGACAGACAGACAAACAGACATACAAACGACAGTCACAAAAATTAGGATAGATTTACATAAAATAATGGTGGGATTGTGATCACCATCTTTTAAAACATTGGTGAAAAAATAGTAAATGGTAGACTCGTTTGCATACTAAGAGGACAACATCACGACAACCAGGTTTCATACCGATCGTACTTGATCTAGTGGAGCTTGAGGCTTTTTTTTCTAAGAGCGTCTTCCATAGTAAGAAAAACAAGATGAGTTGCGCTTAGGGGCCAGTTCCTAGTCCAAAAATTATTTTTACAAGGTAGTCTGAATAATGGACTTATTTGTCCATGCTGGTATTTCTGCCTATTTTCACTTGTTGTTCCCACTCCACCCGATGTAGACTATCTTCGTGTCTGCTTCTGTTTTCAAATCTAACGAGCAGTGTTTTCTCTATCAATACAATTACCTCGTCGAAAATAGAAAATTAATGAGCACGTCATTTCTTGAAAGAGATTTTTCGGATTATAATTCCACTTAGTGTAGTATTGATGGCGTCGACTTTGTTTAGATTGAAATCAATCACAAAACCTGTTGCTACATGATTATTTACTGCGTAAATTCCCACTCATATTTAGTTCAATATGACTGCCCTCAGTTTATCATTCAATTATTGAATTATCGACACATTTCTCTTCTTTGATGCCAGTTGAATTTTATAGATTATTTTCCTGTTGTTTTTTTTTTATTTCTATTAAAACCAAGAAGAACGCAATATCGGCAATATTTTCACGAATTCTATGGAAACAACACTATTTTAAAAGAAATAGAAATTCGTGGCTATTTAAGCCCATATATTACGAAGTTCTTCGGTTTAAAAGAGGAGGTGGGTGATTGAGCGGTCTAACACGTACGTTTTAGATCTAGGCCTAAATCGCAAACTAGTCGCCTGTCCAGTCCCCACCCCAGTGCTAATGATCCCTATGCGAAAAGGGAATTGTTGAATAACAATTAAATGGCATAGTTTGTATCGAGGGGACGTTCAACCCCCATCTTCCCTTTCTCGAAATGAAATTAAATCATGTTAGTCCCACAATGGCCTATTTTTTTAGTCGCGGTGACGTTAAGAACCCCTATCCCCTCTCTGTCTCCATCTCTTTAAATTTCTAGAAGGACATGGTATGACTGCCCTCTTTAAATAATGAATGATGGTTGCTGATAATAGCCCCCTGTAGACGACGTAGCGACAGCCATCAATCTTTTACTTATAATGAAGAAAATGCAATTGTTAGATAAAATATAATATAAATTTTTATGTATGATAAATCACGTTTCAGTCAGTACATGAATACAAAATCATTCAACTGTAATATCATGTTCTAACATTCGACAAGTAATTGACATTGTAAACATTGCTTTAGACGGGCATATCACTTCATCGGAACCGATCCCTTTCAGAAATATTCTATAACATTGTCCAGTTCTATAAAATGCTCATGGGTCAGTAAGATGTCATATTGCTCTATCCAAATACGTCATAGGCATGCGCCTTACCCAGTTGGTGCAGAAAAGCAGGACGTTAAACCCCATTTCATTCATACGTTTCTAGGGTATTCATATTTGCAATACTATTTCTTGGTTTCTTAACGTGTCGGCATCAGTGTTCCCGACTCTGTTCTGTTCTGCTGCTGACGGGTTGACTCGACCCCAGTGACCTTGGCTGACTACTGATGACGCCTAAATAAATTAATAATTGATCTTTCAGAACTATGTCTTATAATTTAGTTTTCTTTACAATTATTAAATGTCCCTAAAAGATTTCTTTAAAATTATTAAATGCCCCTAAAAGATTTTTTTCGTGCCTTCTCAGATGGCTTTGGTATTAACTTTGCTATTTTCAAATGGCTGTGCATTCATGTACATTTATTTTGTTCATAAGTCTACAGATAAAACTAATAAGCAGTCTATAATCTATTTTGGCATAATTTCAGGATGTCTGTCTTATCTCAAAAAAAAAATTGCGATATTTTATTCATTGAGTTTGAAGTTTCAGTGTAAGGCCGAAGGCTGTGGGATTTCAGATATAGACATATCTTAGATATATTATTCGTATAAATATACATTACTTTTCCATTTTCAATAGACACCGAAATGGTATCAATAAACACTATAACACCATTGCTTTAAGTGTAGAAGGGGTACTGAGGAGTTTGCTGAAATTCTAAAGAACGCACAAATTTCTATTTCGCGCATCATCCACGAATTCAAATCTTATGTTACATCACAGAACCCGAAGACGACCCCAATAATGACCCGTGTGGTACATTACGATGCTTGTTATTGAAAATGTGCATATCGATTTCAGTAATCTCATGCAAACCTCATTTATGTTCAAGTGTCATTAATTTAAGTCAATAAAAATAAATAATGACCTCGCGTCGTTTATTATTCATGGAATTATTAACGTATCCTAATCGATGTATCGTATTATATTTATCGCTTTAATTGTGTAGAATGTGATATAGTATGATATTTATGATTGTTAAATCTTCGGGGAAATAAGAAATAAAATATCTCCTTTTTTACACCATAAGCCTTTGTCTTCCACTGAAATTGATCTCTTGGGATAATATAAAATGACTTGAACATATATAGTTGCTGATATTTATAATAAATCTTAACGCAGTTACGCGTACAGACCAAATTCTTAGCTCGTATAGTACTTATGCAGAAGGTTTTATCCCAAGATCGAATGTTTTAAAAATATGTTTACTATAGAGACATCAGATTAGAATGTGTTATCTATGGTGTACTTAAAGGTAGCGTGCTTGGGTCTTTAATATTTTTAGTTGATCACGGACCAACGGTGCAGCTAGTGTAAACATGTAGCCAACCATCATTCACGCCCATTCTATATGTATCTCGACAATAGTTAGTGTACTTCGGTTTGCTCTTAATCTTCAAATACATGTATTTGGGGATGAAATAATATTGAAAAATTATCTCTTAAAATTAATACATAAGAAGGGCTAATACAAAGTTCAGGTATAAATTTAATCAAAATATTATAATTATTTATTTTCCAGGTATGTGCGATGGATTACGGTGCTGGCATTGTATAGCAGATAATTGTGATGAAGATCCTAGTAGTAATTATAAAGCCAGTCAAAAAGATTGTCTACAGGGACAAATTTGTCAGGTAAACTATAACTTGCAATAGACTGAGCCGTGAAAGTTCACCAGGATTTTCCGACGTGGTTTACCCTTGTCAGTGGCGCATGGCGGAGGGCCTGGCAAAGATAGCTGTCTAGTAAGCGGGTGGGACGAAAAACCGAGATTCCGTGTATACATTGACATGCACGTAAAAGATTCCTTGGCAGTTGTAATTCGATATTAGAGTAGGCCACAGTGCCGCTGTCCGGGCAAAATTTCCCTCATAGCACACTCTATGGCTTATGCCCGTCTTTTTTAGCCAAGTCGGAGCAGAACAGTAGGACGTTAAACCCTATTTCATTTCATTCTATTTTTGCATTAGACTGACATGTAGGATTTTCAAGATGGTTGCGATGACGTCATGCTCGAATCCTCAGGCCTTATTCATAAAATATGTTAAGAATGCTGCCTTTTCATTGGTCAAGAGCTAAGGTTTATACTAGGCTTTTAACGCCCATCCAAGGAAAAGGCTTCATCTCTAAAATATTTTAGGTTAGTTGTCGTGCATAAGGCCATAGCGGATGTTTCACAGTGGTACCACTTTCCATTAGGATTATATTCGCACGATTTCGCTAATTTGAACATTATATTTAACCAAGGGCAAGAATAGACTACGTGATTTTATCAATCTGTCTGTCATGGTAAATGTTTCACAGCAATATGATAACTTTCTCACGAATTTGCTAATTTGAAAATTGTGTTTACCACTGGCTGGGATAGATTGCGTGATGTACATTTCATAACCACAGGGTGGGAAAACCAAATGCCTGATAATTAGTGAGCTTTAGATATATTGTTAGTGAGTTCAGGCGCCATAGTTCCACGAAAACGGTAGTTATTCTGTCATGACACATATCCCACCACCCACGTTACATTCAGTCATTTTGTAGACAATTTACCCCGATCAAACAATGAGGATGAAACAACTATGCCATATGCTGACTTAATTTTGGTCCATTATCAGCTCCAAACGATGGCTTTTAAAGTTACAATTTCATATTTTCTAAGAAAGTCAAAACATAATTATGTCTATGTCTTTTGCTCAATAGGTTGTCAACTCACTATTATACGATTATAGGTTCACACCGGAAATAATAACACAATTACCTCCCAATTACCTCCCTTGTTTTCCTATTCCCCGCCATGGAATAGCTATCTTCAAACGTTTGAATTTGAAGTTGAAAATGATATTTTTGCCAATTTCTCAACTGGCAATAGTGAATTATAGGATTAATAGGATTATTCATTAACAAGGTAGGACTGTTTATAGATACCATCTATTTAAGGGCTTTATTTTAATACATTTTAAAAATATAACTTAAAGATATGAAATTGTAACTTTAAATCTGTCTCCATGGTAAATGGTGTCGTTAAACATGACAATATCCCCTTAGATTAAACAAAAAATCAATTACAGAATGTTTTTATAATGTACTTGTTGGGTTTTTTTTTTACAGAAGGTACATTTTGAGATGTATAGTACCACGGATAAAGTGGAGTACAAGTCACTAGTTAGAAGTTGTGCCGAGGAATGTACTGTTCATAATGACTTCGTGAATTGTACGGATGATTTATTTACAACTCGGGGCTGTATAAAACGTTCTTGTTGCAACAACGAAGATTTATGTAACATTTCTACTACAGTGACAGCATTGACATGGAATTTATTATTGGCTATAACGTTTGGATTTTTTATTAAATTGTGTAAGTGAGTGTGTATAAATAATGTGTACAGTGCGCTGATATGGTAAATAACCTTTTCTGTTCTAGTTTGTGAACGTTATAACATTCCTTGTGTCCAAAGGTGTCAGCTGTATCTTTCCATACTTATAGTATCCAAGAATAATCACTAATCGTAATGGTCATGGATTTACTTGAAGAATTTGGACACGATTGCGTGGACAGGTGGTTACGATATGCAGTAGCTATTATATTACAGGGTACGAAGTGGTATGCAAATAAGTCTAACTAATGGAATTTCGGGAAAGATCATTTGTTACAACTAACATCTGTATTGAACTGACGTGCAGATAACTTTACGTATGTTTCGTGCTACGTCGACGAAATCCATATCAAGACAAAAGTAATATAATCATATTACATCCCTACTAGAAACTTGAATTGGCGGCATTCTGAGGAATCACTGGGAGAAATGCATTGTGCCTAGATCATGACTATTAAGAAATGGGCGAAAACAACACAATTTCAGTTTATAGACAATTACACATCTCTTGTCGTAAGGAATGCATTTAATAAGTAAGGGTAGCGGTTGAACAGTTGCGCATATCCAATGTTAGAATCTAATTATGTTAAAACAGCTGTACATTGGTGACAATAATACTAACAAGCATTATTATCTTGATTAATTCAATTGATAAAAGTTAATAAAATTTGTGTCTGTACAGATAGATTTAAAAAAATGGGTATTGATCCTTTAGTGTATCGCACATGTAGGTAGTGTTAAAAACACTACCTACATGTGCGGTACAGACATTACATATTAATAACACAGATAAGATTAATACAGACCATACATTACATAATAAATATGTTATTAAAATAACACAGATCTACAGAGAATAACACAGAATATAATTATAAATATTAATGTTCAGTATTGATTTACAATACTTCTAAGTTAAAACATTTATTATTATCGTTATATCGAGGGAATAAAGCTAAAGTTATTGATATTTTGAATAACATTGAAAACTTTCACTTTGATTTTGTTGTAATATACACCTATTAATAATGCACATTCTAAAGATATACTGTAAAATATTGATATCTTAACATTGTACATATTTTATGTTTTTAACATTCCAAATTACATAAGCGTATAAAAAATTTCCATCCATTATTTAATACTTTTAGATAATTGCGCATCGATCTACGTCACAATTCCAAGATGGTGGCGATGATGTCATGCTCGGTTCATATTCCATACAATACGCTCGTATTTGTTTTAACCTTTCGTTATCGTGAAAAAAACACCCACTTATTGTATACAGAGAAACGTTATAGTTGCTATATGCCATAGTTTTGCGATATATGGGGATGGAAGGACTGGACGAATATTTTTTTTTTAATTTCCGTTTATCTATTGATTTGACAACCGGTCGAAATATTATTTATCATTCGTTTCTTGTATATAAAAACGTATAATTAATGTTCATCTTTACCATTAAGCCGGTTGTCGTTCGTGGGTGGGGTGGTTATGCAGTATTTGTAGATATTCTAAAGCAGGCTTATCGTTCTACAGTTTTTAATGGCCGTTTTGCCAAAGTTCACTAATACAAAGAAAGAAAACTGAAAGTACACACGCGGTTATTTAAATAGCCACTGTATAAATCAAGCAAATATGTAGTTGTTGATGAAATTACCGTTGATGGTGGAGTATCACAGAGAGAGAAATAGAGCTGCGTTTGCTTAAGGGTATTGTTTTGTTCGATATCAAATGATATCTACAACGATATGTTCTTGCAGGTATCGCTGTATTTATTTACTGGTAGCATTGTTATTGAAGACGTACGAAGTCATTAGCCCGTTCTGTCTAGAGAAATAAGAAAGAATGAGCTTTTTTATGAGTTGTCATATCTAATGAAATCTGTAATTTTCTTATTCAACAAAAGGACACTCCGTCGATGGTTATTCCCTCTCAACTTCTTGATTAGGCCCATTCTCTTGAACTCTCTAAGCACACATTATGTTTTCTCATAGCGGACGAAGGTCGTTTAGTAGAGAGAGAGCAGAAGATTTTATGAAAAAAATAATTGTATTATCAATTTGATATTCTTTGGAAAGATTATGATACGAAGTTACAATTGGGTCCTCGTCGTGTATATATGAAATTCAAACAATAGTCACTATTACAATCAATGTTCATACTATGATTTGGGTTGTGTATATTTGAATTGTAAATATGAATAAACATGTTTAAAATACAAGATGTGTATTTCAATCTTAAGCATACTAGGGACAGGGTCACGGTTTATAAAGAAGGTGGAGGGGGGACTGGGGTTTAACGCCCGATCGACACAAACTAGGTCATTTTAGGTGGGGATTGATGCGAACACTAAAAGTGAAAGTGTACTCGTGGGGTCTGACGCTATCCTAAGCTTCTCTTAACCAGAGATGAGACATATTAATGGCTTTTTTGTGCTCGGTTTAATATATCTGAACTGGTATTTATAGACCGGATTTTAGATATTTAGGAGAGATCTATATCATGGCCTATTATATTGTGAATACAAATTATTCAAACTTAAGTACATTCTTTTTCTTAGTGATATTGATAGCGTATCTTTAATCGGTGTTCTGAAATGTTATGCAAGTGATTATATTATTGTTATGTCTTAATAACAGAAGGATTAATAAATAATCAAGTATCCAAGCAACAGTAATCACTGTTATTAACGAACCTCATAAGGTAAGCCCGTAAGCTCTACCTTAGAATGAAATTTGGTATTAATGACCATTTCATCGGTTTTCTTTAGCAAACAAGACTTTTCTGATCGAAATTACATTGACATTGTTCTCGGGTTTCTGTGTGATGCTTGATTAAATTCCGTCTATATAGACTTGTTTATTACCATATCACTAAGGCACGATGTAATTACAATCGCAACGTTTAGTGCGAAACTATGGCTTCAGTAATTCAATCACATCCCGGGCTGTCACTATAATGGATGCCACAAGGAGAATATCGTGTTGAATTAGTCTCATATTGTACACTTGATGGTTGCTGATACAGGCTACAAATGCCATTCAACAAAACAATATCCCCCCTGTATGGTATTTTGATATAAAATCTAAAGGTCATTTACAGATATATACGAGCCGCAGTGGCTTGGCGAGTAAGAAGCTGGTCTCGGGTTTGGGATTTTCCGGTGTAGTTTCACTGGTAAATAGTGTAGGACGGGGGAGGGGGGGGGGCTAATAAGGAACAGCGTATAGTCGTTCGGGTGGGACGAAAACCCAAGGTCT